TTTATATGGTAAAATGTATGCACCCAAATGGTTTTGTGTTAAACTATATTGTTATAATCCAACATCACAGTGGTGTATGTTTTGATTTTGTGCATGCTATAGAGACGAGATACAAGATTTATCAGTGGTGTACGTTTTGATTTTGTGCATGCTATAGAGATGAGATACAAGATTTGTCAGTTGTGTACGTTTTGTTTTCGTGCATGCTATAGAGACGAGATACAAGATTTGTCTTTTCAACCTTATGGATATCTGGGGATATATATAACCATCGGCCCACGATCAATTTACTACTGCTGCCAGGGCAAGCAAACCGGGCGGCAAGCGATTCCTGCGTGTCGATGCCACGCAACTCAAACGTCCCATCAGCGCCGATGCTGATGTGTTACCTCCTCCTTCACTCCCGGGGGATCCCAGCTCCAAAACAAATCGCAGTTATCTCTCGCCCGAGGGACACGAACAAATTATGCTTGGACTGTTGGTTTCCCATTTATAGTTCGAGGACGGTGTGGCCCGTAAACCTTTTGGCAATTAATGATGGAAAGGTGGAACGAGGCTCTCCAAGGCTCGCGCCCTTTTCCTTTTGTCCCGAGTGGTCCCGTCCCGTCTGCCATGCCCGCCATGGGCTCGTTCTTCTTCCCCTCCAATCGATTGCCCCTCGCCGCTTCGGGGGCTTTGCCCGGTCCGGTCAGGTCAGTTCCGTCAGTCAGTGTGGCCGCTCTGCTGGTCATGGCATGGTCATCTTTGTCTTGTCCATGGTAATATTATAGTTTATGGATCTCGATTCGGCGTGTTGCACTGTGGCGTCTATCTTTTGGGCGATGTGGCTTTGCGGACCGGTGAAGACGAATGCATGGCGTGTTCGGCCGGGCACGTACGGAGCAGGGCCGCGCAGCAGCTTTATTTTACCACGAAAAATGAGAGGGAAACGAAGGATGCTTGTACTGTTTTTCCCTTTTTACCGTAAAAAGAGTTGTCGTATGCCGCCGGCATTCATTTTTTTTTTGAGGGAATTCATTTGTTCACGAGTGAGGTACAGAAAGAGGCATACAGGAGAGTGTAAATGCAAGTGGGCCACAACTGGACATGATCTGAAAGCGGTCCGGTAGGCCCGCAACTTGGTGGGCAGATCGATTTCGTCCTGCAACGTGAGTTATATGGGCCCAAATAGAGTACCCAATCCAGTAAAGAAAGCTCGAATTTGCAACCATTTGACAATCTGGCGCGAGTTTGTTCGGCCGTCACAGTCACATGTTTAATTTGCACAGTGACATGCTTTAGTACCCGGCTTCTTTTTTTGGCACGGTGATATCGCTGCTTGTACGTACATGTACTACTGCCCAGCCGGGCCGTCGCAGTCGAGGTGCGTGTGGCGCAGTGCTACGTGCCACTCCTACCAAACGGGCACGAGGAGGGGCCCGTTTCCGCTCGTGAGCAGAATGTTGTTGTTGGCCGGGTCCAGGGAGAAGAGGGAACCTCCGCCGTGTTTGCAAACCGAGTTGAATTGAGCTTGTTAGCGCGGAGCTACCATGCATTCTCGTTGCAGTTAAAGAAACTATAGCGGACGCGTTATATTGTCTAGACCATCGTAATCTATACCTACTAATAAAGTCATTAGTGCTTTTGCCCGTTCATCATTAATTAAAATTACCCCCGAAGTAATCATCAATTACCCCTTATGGGTGGCATAAGTGACGAGAATGATTCGACATTTTTTTCTTGAAGCAGCCGTTGTTTTTGGTTCTTATACCTGATACCATGATACATCACAATTCACAAACACACAAGAACCACAATGGCAAAGGCAGTCTTTCACACTGGTGACTCGGGTTTGATCCTAGGTGCCACCCTTTTTTCTCTTATTTTCTCTCTTAATAGCAAGAGCGATCCCACATATGTTCATGGGCTGGCCCATGTGCGGAGCGTGACACCCTATGTTTGTATTTTGTATTCTGCCTTTTCTTTTTCCGGTATTGTTTTTATTTTTCCTTCTTAAAGTTTATTTGGGAATAGCAAAATTTCACGAAGCTATGAGTTTTAATATTTTTTGATAAATCATAATTTTTTCATGAATTAAAAAAATGGTAGGGACACCATAAAATGTCGATGATTTTTAAAAACTGTTTGCATATCATAAAAAATCGTAATTTATAAAAAGTGTCTGCAAATTAAAAATGTTCATGATTTTATGAAATGATTGTGTATTCAAAATATAATCAAGAATTTGAAAACAATGTCCATGAAATTCTAGAAAATGTTCACAAAAATCAAACTGATCCATTGAAACGGATCCGTAAATAACGAACAAAACAAACGTTGCTTACATTGAGGTTTTCTTAAGGGATTTGTAGAGGTCGCTCTATGATTTTATCTAGTCCATCACGCATCGAGTAAAAAAAGGTTTATGTGTTCTATACAACACCGAGCCCTAGTTTTACTGTTCATGGAAACATCACGATGCTAGGTCAAGGTGAAACATATCATTCATCTGTCTACCTCAGGCAGGGTCCATCAATGCAGTTTGTTGAGTCAAAAAATATTTCGTTCTGGCGGCTTAGAAAATCAAGTCATGATGGGGCCATCACATTTTCAGTTTTTGAAATGGCTTTCTAAAACTCTCTTATCTCATCGTAACTTTATGAAATGACATTTTAAAAGTTCTTATCTCATCCCGAGCACGGCCACGTCACCCTTTCAATGGATGGGTTCTTTCAGCCTTCAAATGGTTCTGTGGCTGCTGGTATGGTCCTTGGAAACAGTGCAGGCAGTATTATCTTTTCTGCCTATCGTGTTATCTTCCACTGCAATGATCCTTTGAAAGCAGAGATACATACGATCATGCACAGCATGGCCCTAGCCATTCAACATTTGACTCTTTTAGTAATTGTTCAATCAGATTCATATGCAGCATTGTCTTGTTTATCAAACAATGGCCTGGAGCGCTCGGTGTATAGTCATTTGGTTCGGGAGATTAAAGAGTTAATGAGTAACATGGAGTTTTATCCTTAAAAAGAATTCTTCATAGTCAAAATAGAGTTGTAGATCGGCTGACCCAGTATAGCCGCACCGAGAGTACAACTACTGTGTCATTAGTCTCGGTTCCACTCTGTATTAAGAATTTGTGGCCTCTTAATTGTAACACTATTACTTCCCAATAAAACTCCCTTTACATCGAAAAAAGAAACACGGCACGCTCAACATATTATCCGTACGTAGTACAGGTTCCGTCGCTCCTGGGCAGACCGTAGTACGCGTGCATCAGCAGCAGACGTGCGTACTACGAGTGAACAAATCAACAATCTATATCTGGCGCGTGTACGCACACTGTACAGACATGCGCGCAGGTGTTGCCCGGTTCGACGGGTTTGCACCGCGTGTCGCACTGCATGCGCGTACGGAGAGCCACACGGGCGGGCGGGCGTGGCGCCGGAGCACCGCACGCGCCGTGCCGAGCTGAGAAGCGACAAGCGCGTACGTGCGCCGGGCGGGCAGCGGGGCGCGCGCTCGGGCCGGAGCCCGGAGGGGTGTGGCCGCGCGGCCGACACGGCGAGACAAGCGCGATCTCTCGTGCCACACCCATACCCCATACTCGTACCCTTTTCCGGCACTTTCTCCCACCTCCCCGCGCCATGCACCCATCCATATCTTTGCCCCGCCAAGCAAGCTCGCTCGCTCTAGGCATAGATCGCGTGCATCCCTCCTGTAGCTCTTCCCACCGCCCCAGGTCCACACCGAGATCCCCGTGCCATGCGACACGCATCGACTCATCTCGCCCCGCCTCGCCTCCCTAGCAAACTCTCTGCATGCATCGGATGCAGCTAACCTCACCGTGGGCCGCCTGTTCTCTTACGCCTGACCACATCTGTTTGTTTCAGATTTGCACTTCTTCACTGTACGAGCACACTCCCTCAAAAGCTGTACGTCTCATATGCGTGTTTGACATTGATCGATGTCCTTGAGATTCATGCAAATAGAATGGCCGGCCTGGGTCTCCGTGGTTCCGGAAGATTTTTGTGATTCAGACATGTCAACGGCCCCGATTAACAAATTCCGGAAACGCGTAGGTACAGCAGCCAGGCAAATTGATCATCAAGCAACAGCAAAAAGTAGGGCTTAAGTATGCCAACTTGGTCACATCGAAGGTACTAAACTGTACTTGGTTTAATCAATTTGATTATGGGGTTAGGGTTGCCCACGCCAACTGGTGGTACTACAACAGTGGCAGATCGCACTGCACGTAATAATTGCAATGCACATGATCACCAAGTAACCAGGGGTTGGGTTGCTTACAAAATCTGTATCAAGGAAGGGGACGGATCGAGACATCCATGTGCGGCTAAGGAGATGGCTCTGCCTCGGTTTTCATGACCAGTACCCCATCATGCCGCGCGCGCTCTTCCTTTGTTTACCACATTTTCGTACGGCAGGTGCTGCTATGCGTGCAACCATCCTTCTTAATTTGCAGTATGCCTGAAATTCTGGAAAACAAAATTAGGAGAAGATTAGTTTGTTACTGTACAATCAACACTTGTTGAATTACAGTACTGCCTTCATATTCATACGCAAGGCCACTTCGTTTTTCATGTCATATTTTTGACTCGTAATTTTGGTCCACGGAATATGGATTATATGTCGTAAAAAGTATATCATCAGAAAGTTCTTTGAAATGTGTATTCAATGAAATATTTTTTGTGCCATATAACTCACTTTTTGTTGGTAAAATTAATAGTCAAAATTAGACATACAAATAAGAAGTGGCCTTGTATAAGGGAATGGGGAGTACTAATTATTTTGGTTAATACTTAGTTTTGGTACTCCAAATACGTCTTGTGTATTCCTGGCAAAAACAGAAATCTTACGTAAAGAAACGGAGGCCCCCCTTTTCTAGCTTGTACCACGTACCTCCCCCATATCCTCTTCGAACTTCGATGCATGTCACTTCTCTAAGCTCTCTTACCTATTAATGTTTCCTAAGTGGTCACCAATCACACCGGTCCTCCATGTTTAGCCTAAGCTCCCCTCCCCTAGCTCTCGAGAGGAAGCTAAAGCTCTCCACCACCTACACTATTCTCCTAGTGTTCTTCCTCTTCACTCTCTACATCACCTCATGCGAAGCTCGTCGTCTCCGCGTCAATGGCAAGCACTTAAGCAGCAGCAAGTCTTCCTCATCATCCCAGGTTTGCTTCAGCCCCAACACAGTCCGGTTAAACATCATAACGTCATCGATTTTGTTCTAACATTGCCCTCCCTTTCTCTATTTGTGTTTCTCTAGGATGCGACAGAGGTTGCTGATGCCCAGAAGCAAACGAGAAGCTCGTTGATGGTTCATGATGTGGGGAAGAAGGCTCGAGCTGCCGGAAGCGGCATCGATCAGTCGACGGGCGCGGGAGCAACATTGATCAATCGATCAGGTGGAATACGAAACACCACGCATGCCGCTAGGGTTTCGCAGCAGCTTCCTCATCGCAAGCACGTGGACGATCAGGGAATTCACCTGGATTATGCTCAGCCTAGAACCCGCACTCCGTATCACAACTGAACATATATACATCGATCACGGATGAGAGCCGTTCATGAGATGACATTTATGTCATCGTGATCATTTATCTAGTTATATATATCATGTATATTTCTCCTTGAATCTCACTAGCTAGCTACCAGCAGCTTCAAGTCGTGTCTGTGTTTCCGCTATATTTCTAGTTATTTTATGCAATTTTGATGACAGAGTTCGCCGATATATATTGAGATAATTCCGGACAAGCTTCAGTTTGGGTGGGTTGTGGTGCTGTAGGCTTGGAGTACTAGCTAGTTAGCGACAGAGTATAGATAGCAAAGTTTTTTTTTTTGATAAAAAAGTAGAGATAGCTCAGATGAGAATGCACATACTATACACGTACCGATTCTGCACTTAATTAGCTTTTCTATTCCCTGGATCATATATATCTCATAAAGGCCGGTACATGTACAGCTTGCCCTTTAGTCGCCTTGATTGACCATTCACAGCAATTCATAGTCAGTGGTAATGATTTGCAGGGGACTCATCTCGTGGCTCTAACGGAGAGCGGCTAGGATCTAAGGCGACCACCGTGTACACAGAGGGAACACTAGTAACCATGGACTACCCAGTTGCACACGCAGCACCAGCTGTTCACAACAGGTAGTGCGTGCGTAAAGCAATAAGCAGGGCTTACCTCTTTGATTGAGCTTGCCTCTGAATGAAATTTACATGCATGGATCGGTCAATGTTCGGCCCTTGGCTCCTCGACTCCGGATTTTAGCACAATCTTGTACTAGTTATGTATATTTTTTTCTTCGAATGTAGTTATGTATATGATTATTATTACGACATGTATGTATGTGTGTATGAGTGAATCACAATGTGGCATGTCCTTAGGGCTCTTTAATTAAGTAGATGCCATAACATAAGCGTCTTCTTATTTTTGAAATGACTTGATAAATTAAATGTTAGCCCAGAGAGAGGAGATGCGACTACTAACAACAGTATTCACATAAATTACATTTCCCTACTTATCTAAATCTTCTCCCGTAATGAATGAAAATGACAATATCTTTTGTCATGTTTAAAAAAAACATTTCCCTGCTTATTCTGTACTACATCTTTGACAAAACTGCGTCACGGGCCATGATCAACACTAACAAAGTCAAAGATGTGGAACTTAATGGATGCAATGCAAGTCTCTTGTCCCATCCTCTCTCCCTCAACCTTGATTTCAGTTTACATGCTCAATTACTGGTGTGATATTCATCGAAGAGGTAGGCTTTCCACCCAATCACCTCTAGCGCACCACATCATTAGCAAGTAGGCGGGGAGGGGAGCGGGGTGGCCGCCACATGGCCCCACAACCAAGGGTCCCACTAGGCTTACGAACGGGCATGCGCAACCCTTGGGTGGGATGGGGGAGGGGGCAACCGCCCTGAGTCCCCCGAAACCAAGGCCCCTCTACTAAGGTCATGCGAGGTTTATCATGGATGACAAGGGATTGAAGGCAAATACCTTATGATCCATACTAAATGAAACAAGCCCTAAATACACATACAAATTGACTGGCTTTGAATATACATAGACACATCTATCATGTGCATGCACTACATAGCTGGCGTGATTGCTTGCGATGTTTTACTAGAATCGGATCGTCGCTTGTTTGCATCGAAACCCGGCCCCTCCCCCCTGCGTATGTGTTATGTACAATCAAGCCTGCACTGAAGCAGTTAGCACATGCGGGAGCAGTCATGTGCAAGAGGTGGACAAGTCGCACACCGGTAGGCACGAGCACACCCATGCTGAGACGATATGAGATCACCCCTGGTCAACCAATGCTCTTGGATTAGTCAACATCGCTATCTTGTGTGATCTTGATCAATCGTCTCTCAAAAGTAACCTATGTTAGTTTCTTGATGTCCCGTGCGTGGCCTTGTCTCATTTTTTTTCAATGCTCAAGCAGCAGGGTCGGTTAGCCGAAGAAGCCCCATCACTGAACCCTCACGTGGCCAAGCCCACCGTCCACCAAGACGATGCAATCAAGGAAAGGTATGTCTCTACCTATATGTAGCATATGCCCTATGTGAATTTGCCACTATGATTGATGAAGAGTTACAAATGATTATCAATATTACATCTTCATTGTTGGAACATGGCCATTGATAATGGATTGATTGGCATTGTTTAGGAATATATGCTATTGTGCTTTTTGATCTTTGAGCTCAAAGTGGTAATCGGTTATTTGACTTGATCTAGTACATTTGTACACACTAGTAATATGAGCATATCAAGAAATCCATACGAGTTGCCAATAGTGGTTGTGGGGGAACAAACTAATGCTAATCCAAAAGATTAGAGCCCTACAGAGACAATGTTAAATAAACACATTATGAGTGATCATGAGCACATCTTTTATTCGTCTGCTAGAGTATGCTATTCTTGATGAGGACCAGTTTTCAGTATGAACATTTTTTGATCAAGAAATCTGGTACAATCTTGATAACAAAGCAAGGGACATATTGGTGGAGAAGACGCTTATGACAGAAGAAAAATATTGCATTTCCCTTAAATGACAGTTCAAGACATTTTTTTCTTCGTATACCCATCAAGGGGTCCAGGTTCGGCCTGATCATCACCTACTTCTGACGAGGTCATCCATGTGGTGAAACAACAGACGCTAGAATTTTTTCCAGAACGGAAGCATAATATTTGCATCATCAATTAAATAAGGGGAGAATAGAGTTTAGAGTTTTACACAACACTCACATACACGGCATGACAATTACTCATATATACAAAATTATATGCCCTAGTCAGTGACCCAAAGCTTGCCTCCTCCAAGATTATGTTAGGAAGGATCAGCGGTGCTATGGATTTGTGACGGAACACCCGAACATTCCTCTCGTTTCAAACGGTCCAAGCCACAAGCATGATGAGGGAGGCATCCTCTCGTTTCAAACGGTCCAAGCCACAAGTATGATGAGGCCATAGCATGATGGTTGGAGTTATGATTATCGGTTCACTTGTCCCACCATTAGTAGACGGATGCGTCAAGGGCCAGTAGTTATTAGTTGCATTGTGGTGGATTGGAAACTTGAGACGAGGAAAAAGATAAGAACAATACAGATATGCACCACTACATTGTCATTTTTGCTCCTTAGAGAACTAACCTGGGTCTACTTGGTTAGTGGAGTGATTGTACCTCAGCCCATTAATGATCAAACCCCAGGTTTGACCCTTTGTGTCTTATTTAGCAGCCTGTTACACATCATTCTAACCACAAACCAACCTCAAATTACACTTATATTTTATTTTAAAATGACAGTTGCATACTTGTGAAAACAGCTAAGAAGCTCCATGGAAAAGGTATTGAGCAGTACTACAACAAGACAGAAACAAACTTCGGTTTTTGTGACCAGACTTCTTTTCTTCTTTTGAGGGGACGCAGCCAGATGTCTGGCTTACACACTTCACACTGGTTTTCAACTCTCAGGCCCAAACTACAAAGGGCTTAGTAATATTATAAGCCCACTTGCCGCAATTATATCAATCTTCCCAAGAATGTCCCCTCTGCTACATCAATTTTACTACCTCTCTCTCAGTTTATAGGGCGTACGCGTGCTCCTAGGTCGTCAATTTGACCAACCTAATACAAGTCATATATTACAAAAAATATACCAATATAAACTTCAGATGTTCTATTTTCAAACCGTATAATTTTTGTGTTATATAGTTTATATGAAGATGATAAAATTGGCAACCTAGGTATACGCGTAGGACTTGTAAACTGAAACGGAGGTAGTACCAACAATCAGCAGTAAATAACGTAACAAAATGTGAGCAGAGCAACTGGAAGGGAAACGCTGCTCCAAAAAAGACAGACATCCTAACCCCAGATCCAAGCAAAAGCCTAGTGTACCTCCCTGGCAGTGCGTTAATCAAGGCCGCATAGAACCACATGGATCTGAAGCTTCTGTTAAGCTGTATGGTAATCACTCGTTAACTACACTTCACCACAAATGGATTGAAAGCATTTAGGAACTCTGAGGTCCGCATCCCGAGCTTGAGGTCAACTTCTCCACCACCTAGCCAGAAGAAATCCTCATCCAACTTGGTGATGGCTTCATCTATGATAACCTGCCGACAAACCCTTTGTATTATAAGATGCCTTGCAAATTTCAGATTATAATCTTGACATTCGAGAGAAACAAAAAAAAAGCAACCAATGGTACAATACAGAATGTCAAAAATTGTTGTCGTTCATTTAGAACGTCTATTTGAGCAAGAATATACAATAATTTATCAGAAGAACAACTTGATAAGATATTTCGGTTATAATCACAGTTGAAAGTTGAAACCATACATCTTATTGTTTAATACCATCAATTTACTCGTACAGAATTTGAAAAGGACTAGGAAACTTCAAGGAGACGGTACATTAGGCATATAGTGTCAGATATGATATGCAAAATATGTGATTTATCTCTTATGTAGTTCTGTTGTCCTTCAGTTTGAATATAATTACGATAGTATCTTCAACAACATACATCCTTCAAGAAGCAACATGGTAATAGCAAAATTCCATTACCGGTATGGCTGTTTTCATTCCAATGCATGTCACACCATTGTGCACAAACCCAGTAAGCATGAGTGACTCCTCTTCTGGTGCGAGCCTCACTACACCAAAAACAAAAGTATACATTTTAATTTTCTGATACTGCAACAGTATCTGCAGCTATACCTGAAGATCTTGAAACTGAAGCAGATTGGTATATGCATTTTATATTTTTATTTAAGATACAGACAATGATGATTCTGAAGAAACATATGACTAACAATGTTTGATGGTACATACATCTGCCTGCAAATGAATAGTTTGAGATTGTAGAATTTTCAACACACTGAAAACAATCTTACTGTTAAATCTCTTTTTGGGTATCTGACTCTCATTTAGGGTATACAGGAAGTTCTTGATGTTTTCAGCATTAAGCCGTGCCATATACTGCAAAAGATATTCAAGTTATCAAAATAAATATACTGTACTGAGTATCAAGTTTGAAGATGATACATTGAGATTATAAAAGGTTACCTGAACAATAACAACATAATATTTAGAATTCTTTGGGTTACTGCAGTCAACTACATCTGCAGCAGCTTTGGTATTCACCTGCGAAAAGTGGACATGATTCAGAGAACATATCCATGGATACCAAGCCTTAAACAATGCAATAAAATGAGAAGGGAGAGATACTATTACACAAAATCAATCTACTAACACTTTAGAAGCACAAAAGACAAAATCTGTTGAAAAGAAATCCGAAATAAAAAGAGAAGGGAGAGATACTATTCACATATTAATCAGCAAACAAATTTTGGCTTCAATTCTCAAATTTGGGAATAAACAAATCGGACTTAGCCTGGAATGCACTGAATCATTAAGACAGCAGATTAGCAAAAACTTTCTCTACCAATGAGCATTAGTAATTTTTTTGCATATTTCAAGTAGCAAGGACAGTAATCAATTATGTGTCAAAATTAAAATAAAAAGCTAATTTTGAGTAGTTTTGAGTAGCCGAATTGTAAGGACCCATCAAACTATAAATGTCATAACCAGGTGCCAACTTGCCATAGCTCATAACAACAGCATCTACTATCATTAACCTATGTATAACAATCTAACTCACAGCCATCCATCTGAGCTCAAATCAATGGCAACACACATTTGTGCTAAAAAAAACCATTCATTCCCTAGTTCTCTACCAAGTCTACCTAGCACCTTCCAACTTATAATGGCATGCCAAAAACTCTGTATCTTTATTCGTCCAGCAACTAGAGACATCTTTTTGTTGCATGGAAGCTAATGGCCGTTGATCTCACAATCTTAAGATACAATATAAATCCAACATAACTACCTGCAATCGAAACACTAGTTGACACAACCCTTTATCATCAATAAATTAAACTTATTAGTTGCAGCATTATTTTAACTGCATATGGTAACTAACAATTAGAGCATTCTTTTCATGAACACGAACAACACTTCTGCCAATATCATGGTACAACCATACAGTGAAAGTACAACTTTTTTCAGAACAAATCACTGAGGATCATAACAGCCTTTTGCTCATGCTGCTAACGAATTACAGACCCTGATATAAGATTAATAGCATTTTCATCCAATAAACCATACGTATTAGCAATCCTTTAGGCCATTGCCTTTATACATGACTACCAAACAATCCATTACTCCTCTAAATCCACCGATAACACAGACAACCTAATGCCACAATGAAGTAAATACAGTCAATTGCAACAACGTGCGCAATTGCGCACGTCAGGTGTTCGACGAAACGCCACATGGGGATATGAAAGGGAAGAGGCCGTACCATCACTATGCTCTTGCAAAGCTGGGCGACTGAATCGACTGCGAGGAGGTCGCGACGCTCCTCGAGAGAGCGGTCGTAGTAGTCCGCTGGAACACGCCGGAAGGCGAAGTCGTGCACGCCGCGCGCGGCCAGGAGGGCCGAGAGCCGCTCCTCGGTGTCCCCCGCCTCGACCTCCGCTTCGGCGTCGGAGAGAGAGAGCGCCCCAATACGGTGCTGCTGGGCAGCGAGCTCAAGGTCTTCGACGCGACGGAGGATGCGGAGCTGACGCGCCTCGAGATCGGCCGCGGCGGCGCCCATGGTCGATGATGACGAGGAGGGCCGGACAATGCTTCGGTGCCTTAAGGCACCTACCTTTGTGTCTATGACATGTGGGTCCAACAGGTGGCTGACCCACATGTCAGTGACCCAAAGGCAGGTGCCTTTAAGGCACCGAAGCTGTGTCCAGAAGGGCCGAATAAAAACTTCCTCGCAGATCAGTGTTTCGTCCCAGCCTTTTTTTTGTTTTTTGTTTTGAGGGGTCGTCCCAGCCCAATTAGAGTTGATCTGCGAGGGCTGGGAAGCTCTAAATGACTAAATCGTCCCCGCCCAATAGAGCTGAACCTCTGTCCCAAATTCTTAACTACAGGCCGTATTTCAGGGCCTGTTAGGTTTGTGCCTATGTATGCCACAACTAGGAAAACACTACTGTGTCTTAAAACCTTTGAAGAATTCTGGCAATTTCTATGGGTGTGGGTTCGAATCAATGTCTTTAAACCTTTGAGAAATGTTGTATCCATGGTCAGAGACGGGAAGCGGCAGATCTATAGGATCAAGTATGAGAAGCTACCTGACTGGTGTGCTGTGTGTGGTATGCTCGAGCATCTGTACAAGGAACATGGGAACGGGATCCACCCCCCGTTTGCCTTAGTTTTTAAGGACTTTGCGCGAGCTGGGCTATGCGGACTGGAAGAGGCCCTAGGGGAGGCCGAGGCAATCGTGGAGGACGAAGGGGTGGTCGCTCTGGTGGTGGAAACAACAACATATATGAGGAGGGAAATACTAGCTACTCTGGTGCCAATGCTATGGAAAAAATAGGGATGGCCACAGCGCCGGCTATAGATGATGTTGACATGGAAGAATTGACCAGGAAAAGGCTTGCGGCTGGACTGCTAGAAGGTTCCCAGATAGACACCGCATGTCAGAGAAGGATTACAGAAGATGGGAGTAACCTAGCTATGGTGCCGATGGGAAGCTCGGTTGTCAGTCCACCACCGAGGAGAGATCTGAAAAGATCGAAGACATTTGAAGAGGGGAAGGAGGAATCAACTTCAGCAGTTAAAAATCTGGCGGGCTCTTTCGAGGAGCGCCGCCGTGCCCAATGAGAGCCATGTGTTGGAACTGTCGCGGAGGGGGCAAACCTGTGGCAGTCCGAGAGCTTCGCGAGTTCGCGACTAAGTTTGCCCCTACCCTACTTTGTATTGTTGAAACACAGATTGAAGGGTCTAGGGTAGAATCTTTAGCAAGTTCGATTGGATATGATAATTCTTTTGCAATCGATAGTCAAGGTAGGAGTGGTGGAATTGGCCTTTTTTGGAACAATGAAATAAAGATTGAAATTCTCGGTTACTCTGGGTATCATATCGATGTGTCGGTAGAAGAACAAGGGGAGGAAAAGTGGAGGCCAACTTGTGTGTATGGTGAATCTCAAACCCATTTACGCCTAACGTGGACGACCCTGAAAAACATTAGCACTTTGAGCAACTTGCCATGGTTGTGCATGGGAGATTTCAACGAAGTTTTACGTCCAGATGAGCACGAAGGAGTTGGACAACGCAGCAACGCACAGATACAGGCTTTTAGAGACACAATTGATGTTTGCATGTTGCTAGACTTGGGCACTTTCGAGAAGAAGGTAACAGGCGGCTCTTTCACTCGATGTGGACTTGATCGTGCCTTGGTCAATACAGATTGGATGACAAGGTTCCCTATGGCAGTGGTAACGCACGAAGAAGCGGCGACATCTGATCATGCAGCGATTATGGTTGATTGGGGCGGCACAAGAGAACGACCGAAGGCACGTGACTTTGAAAGTGGTAGTGATCGACTAGAGGGGGGTGAATAGGCGGTTTTTATGAAAGTCTCCAAAACATGGAAGTTTCAAACACAAACGATAGTAATGAACCTATTAACATGCAGCGGAAGGTAGACTACACTAGGAAAACCATAGTCAAGTATTCAAAGAAGTGAAAGCACGAAGACTATTAGCAGCTAGGCAGTATGGATCAGGATGGAAGATAGTATGAAGCCAATCAGAACCAACAGTCACACAGTGAAGACAAACAGATAATGCAAGCAGGCAATGACTTCACAAAGACCAACTGTAAATAAAGAGAAGGAAGGGATAGAACGAGTTGCTTGGTGAAGACAAGGATTTGTTGGACCAGTTCCAGTTGCTGTGACAACTGTACGTCTGGTTAGGTAGGCTGAGATTCAACTCAGAAGACCGCGTCTTCACCTTATTCCCCTTGAGCTAAGGACACATAGTCATCGCCCAATCACTCAGGTAAGTCTTCAAGGTAGACTTCCAAACCTTCACAGACTTCGTTCACCGGCGATCCACAATGACTCTTGGATGCTCAGAACGCGACGCCTAACCGATTGGAGGATTCACAGTCCTCAAGTGTAACAAGTCTTCAGACCACACAGACAGAAAAACTTTAGTGATGCCTAACACTCTTTGGCTCTGGGTGTTTAGGGCTTTGTCCTCGCAAGGATTTCTCTCTCAAAGGCTTCGGAGGTGGGTTGCTCTCAAACGACAAAAGCCGTGCACTAACTCTGAGCAGCCACCAATTTATGGTGTAGGGGGTGGGGTATTTATAGCCACTAGACAACCCGACCTGATTTGTCCGAAATGACCCTGGGTCACTAAGGAACTGACACGTGTTCCAACAGTCAGATTTCAAACACACACAGTAGCTTGACTTGGGCTACAAGTAAAGCTGACTTATCCAACCCTGGATAAGATTTGCTCTCATTGTCTTCACTCGAAGACTTAGGATGTGGTTGAGCATCACTTTAGTCACTCTGACTTTGTTCACTTGGACCCCACTTAACAGTACGGTGGTTCCTATGACTCAACAAAGAAGAAAATGAAACTACGAGACAACTATGTCTTCGCGCTCCAAAGTCTTCATGCGATGTCTTCTCATGTCATAGTCTTCAATGTGAATATCTTCACATACCACCATTGTCTTCAATGTCTTCACACATTTTTAGGGGTCATCTCCGGTAGGTAAACCGAATCAATGAGGGACTACTACATGTGTTATCCTGCAATTCTCACAAACACATTAGTTCCTCAACCAGGTTTGTCGCCAATACTGCAAAACCAACTAGGGGTGGCACTAGATGCACTTACAATCTCCCCCTTTTTAGTGATTGATAACAAACTGGTTGAAGTTTTCAACGGGGATAAAAGTATGTGAAATTGTAAAGGATTGAGGTATTGTCTTCGTAAGTAGCAAAAAGGCTCCCCCTGAAGATGTGCATATAAGTATTTTGCTTTTGAATGCAAATGCACATGGCAGGTTGTACTTGCGGAGATCCTCTTCTACTTATGAAGACAATTCATCATGCATGAAGGGATATAGCGAACATAATGACACGCATAATGAAAAATGGACATTTGCAAAATGACTTCGTGCGGAAATTATCGTCGCACATGCGGAATTTATCATCGCATCACATAGTTGACCCAAAAGGTAGCAGACGACCATCAAGTTTAAGTGTTACAACTCAAAGAACCAAATGTATCAAAAGCGAGAGTTGTAAGCACTTGGCAAATGTAGCAAAAAGTATAGCAACCACCCATATGGACCCGCTTGAAGACTATCAACTCATATGCTTCTCCCCCTTTTGTCAGCGATGACCAAAAAGGTTTGAAGACATAGAGCTTTCTACTCGTTCCCGTGAGGAGTAGGCGAAGCAGTAGGGTCATCATTGAGGTTTGGTGGTGCAGACGAACTTGGTGCAGTGTTGATACGCGCCGAAGTGGGAGGTGGTGAGGTAGCATCATCTTGGTCATCAATGACTCTGGCATTAACAGTTGCAGCTGAGGAAGAATAGTCGGGGTCTTCGAGTGAGGGAGTCCGACGCAAGTGAGCGTTCCGTGGAGGAGTGGAATCAAACTTGAATCTCTCCGTGAAGCCATCCTGTTGAAGATCATCTTCAGAGCTCAGCAGAGTCAGACTCTTCCACGATCGGCGACAGGTTTCGTGAGTGACAAACGCATTCTTGGTGGCAAGGTTGCGAATGCGATTGACATCCACCAAGAGGCTATGCATTTGACGCTTGAGCCAGTCATGATGCTTATCCTGTTTCTGATGCAGGGCGACTAGAAGCTCTCGGTCATTGAGAACACGAGATCGCTTCCGAGGCCTTTGAGCAATTGTGCTTTCAGTGGCTTCAGTTTGGGTACGAGGGGCACGTGTATTGCCAGCCAAAGGATAAACACGAGTGACGGCCTGAACTCCTTCAATGGGCTGTGTGAAGCTTTGGTGATCAGCATTGTGAAGATAAACAGGCTCTTTGGCAGGCTTTGGGTAGATGGCTTCAACAGACAGATCAACCTCTGGCAAGAATATGAGATGGTTGCGCGCAGAAGGCTGATAGTTGCACTACAAAAAAAGACACATCCGTGACATTTTGGGCCGAAAGAATTTTTTTTGTCATACATATGACACTTCTATGATGATAATTATGACAAAACCCGGTATCATCATAGATGTGGTGGGCTCCTACTTCTATGACAAAAAATCATGACAGAAAATGGGCTTTTCGTCCTGGGCGGGCCGGAGACGCAGCTGCATGACATTCTTTGGGCCGTCCATGACAGGAAAATGGGTGGTAGAAGCGAGGGCGAGGAAAATTTCGGGGAGTTCCCGGTTACGGTGGGAGGTCGGGGGCCGAGCGGTGCGCGTTTCTCTCGTACACGTACGCGCGTGTGTGCGAGGCATTGGCTCTAACTGAACCCGAGCGAGGCGTTGGGCTCTAACTGAACCCGAGCGATTGCACTGCAGGCTACGCGTTACTGAACCCGAGCGATCGATTGATGGCTGTTAACTGAACCCGAT